ACAGGGAGGATAATTATGTTATAATGTTGTAGATGACAGGTTGTGATGATGTATTGTACAGGACATGTTATGGTAATAAGGTTGTGAGTATGTAGAGGACTGGTTGTGATGATAAATTTAGACAAACACTCACACACGCATCCACATACAGTCTAACACATGGATCCACATACAGTCTAACACATGGATCCACATACAGTCTAACACATGGATCCACATACACATACAGTCTAACACATGGATCCACATACACATACAGTCTAACACATGGATCCACATACACATACAGTCTAACACATGGATCCACATACACATACAGTCTAACACATGGATCCACATACACACACAGTCTAACACATGGATCCACATACACATACAGTCTAACACATGGATCCACATACACATACAGTCTAACACATGGATCCACATACAGTCTAACACATGGATCCACATACACACACAGTCTAACACATGGATCCACATACACATACAGTCTAACACATGGATCCACATACAGTCTAACACATGGATCCACATACACATACAGTCTAACACATGCATCCACATACACATCCCTGACCACCGTAGGGTCAAAACCTATTCAGGCGCAGCTCCTGCTGAGCTGCTGCCCCCCTTGGCCAATGTTCGGCTCATTCCCCAAGTCCCTCTCCCCGACCCATCCTCACCACCGGGATATCAACATAATCAAAAGTGACAATTTCGTTTCGGAAAGAAGTGGGACCAGTGTGGAACAGTGATGAACAGTGTTTTAGTCAGTGAATTCAGCACTAGACAGTATCAGTGAGAGTTGTGACCAACCAGTGAGATAAGCACCCCTGGGGACTGACCGCCATCTTCTGACAAGGAGGTGCTAATCAGTCCACCCTGGGAACAACAGTGGGTCGGCTTCACACCTGACTTCGAAATAACACAACACCACCCCACACCACCTGGTGACCCCATGACCACGTGAGGTCCTTCATATCAACACCCTAGGACGAGTTACTGGACCCCGTGAACACCACACCACCTTGTGTCTCAATGACCAGTCCAGGCCCGGGCCATCAACTGTAAACTATAATAATCTGTATGTTCAATTCATGTTCCTTCTTCTCTCAGTAATGAAAGCTTTTGTTAAACGAACCAACCAACCCCATGTCTTTGTATGTAATAAGTCATTTTTGTCCAATGTATATTTTCAGCCTTCGGGCTGCAGAACTTTGTCAATAAACCGTTAATGTGGTGTTGAGGTGGAGTGCTTGCTGATTGGTCACCTAACCCAACCTAACGACACCCAACCTAAGCTATCCTAACTCAACCTAACTTAACCCAACTCAAACCTATCCTAATTCAACCTAACCAAACCCAATTCAACCTATCCTAATTCAACGTAACCTAACCCAGCTTAACCTATCCTAACTCAATCTATCCTAACCCAACTTAACCTAACAGTATATACGACATTTTTCGTGTGGTGTATAAACTATTGTATTATGAGGAAGTTTATCATTAAGTAACAATATTCCACAACACATCGGCTAATAATTTTGTACTTTGAATGTAATAAGATTTTTCTGTAACTTATCAAACGAAGGGAATTAATTTTAGAATACACTTTAAATGTTTTACTTTCACTACAAGCTCACGAATACAGAAAGGCGAGAGTCACTACTTTCTCGCAAGCTGTTGACCACCACAAACATACCTGATTTTCATTTGGATATGATCTGTGGTATAATGCTTGACAGAGACCTCTAATAATATCATCTTAATAATATATCCTAAACTAAATTACAGATATCATTAGAAACTATAATATATCTACACTGGGGATACTAAGTCGTTCTAGATTTAATGAAAAGTTAAAACAAAACCACTGTAATTGTATATACTCACACGCATGGCGACCCTCAGTTGTCTTGGTGTCGACACTCGCGCACTCGGCGATTTGTCTCTAGTGGCCAATATGGGAGTCTACCGTGAGTATTTAGTACGTCTGCAGCCCATCTTCAAAAATTCCTCATAAAACTAATTACTTATTTTTCTGGGGTTCACTTCACAGTTGTTTTTTTTTCTTCAGAAATATCGCTAATTATATTTATTGTTCCAAAGATGCTACTAACGGTGCGACTTTACTTGTTATTTATCTCTATCAAAATATAGAATACGAGAATGTTATTGTGATAGCACACAGTGAAAAGAAAATGATGAGAGCAAGTTGATGAGCGTGACACACCGGCAGCCGCTGCTCAGCTACTGGTAAAGCTCACCTCAACAATGTTGGCCTCCTCTGCCCCGCCCACAATGCTATCACAAGGTAAAGCGCTCTCACTCTCAAGACGCTCCTGTGCTGGAGGTAGACGTTTACCTTACCTTGACTACCGAGCGGCCACCACACCAAGTACTGGTTTGTTTAGGGTGTCTCATTGTTCTTGATAGCCTTGTCCGGGGCTCTTTCAAAGCCTTGTCCGGGGCTCTTTCAAAGTTTGGCTTCCATGGCTTTGGCTTCCTTATATCTGTTCTGCATAACAACTAAGCGAGCTTGAATCTATGACCTTTTGTATTGGGGCACTAGAGTCAGTACATAACTATAACCTTAAACGATCTAAATATACCACACGCATCAGTGTTAGACAATAATAAAAATGGTTTCTCGTTATTGATAAGAAAATTATCCTTATATCATTCTTACATGTTAAAATTAAAGTGACCTTCAGATTCACAAAATAATGAACTTAACTTTGTCAATTTCCAAAACTAACGCTGTATTTCACAATGCTAAATGTTATACCGGAAGTTGTAAATGTTGAAAACAATGTTGCTGCATGATGTCATTTTGTACCATGAAGTAAAACGAATAGCAGTAACAAAAATCACACTTGGCATCTATTGTCTTGCAAGTAGAAATCTGTGACTTCACGTTGGGTCAGTGTATGTTGTATGTTGTATTCAATATTGTCTGGTCTCATTCTGCAAGTTTTAGCTGGGAAAGGTATAGCTGGACATAATGTAACGCTTGAGATACAATGTATACCTTACATTAAATTGGTCTTGGAACCTCTGGGCTTAACAATAATCAGGAAATCTCTATAGGTGAACAAAAGACATCTGTCAAACTTGAGAAGAAACAACAAGGGAAGACAGAGAGTTAGAGAGAAATAGTTTAGAAAGGGACATGAAACACCTAAAACTTTACCCTCCTCGGCAAATCAAAGTTATAGAGACACATGTAGGTGTATCGGAACTTAAAATTAAATATGTCAGTTATGCGTAATCAAACCGCAAGAAAGTGGAGTCTTTAATCGAATTCTTTCCCTCCATGCATAAAGATAATATGCACTTCACCACCTGGTTTCGGAGATGGGCATTTTAGCTCAGGACTAAGGCATCTGTAATGGTGATTGGTGATTTTTATGTGATGTTCATTGGCACAGTAACTTCACATGCATGTTTCATAAATGACCCAACAGCTTCTATTTCCTCATCCATACAAACGTTTATTGGAGACTCAATTTATTCAAGGTTATTGAAAACTAATTGATCATTGAGAATTAAAGAAACATCTCCATCAGCTTCAAACATTGTTATGAAGATGGATGCTGAGTCCTGACGTTGATAAATGCAAGAGGATACATATTGACCAGAGTGATAAGACGAAGAGTCAAGCTAATTGGGATTTTGTCCTACTTCAATTGAGATGCGAGAAAGATTTGAGTATTTACCTTCATAATGAACCGAAGTTCTTAGATCATTATGAGAAGGTGAACTCTGTCGATAAACTAGTCGAATTCAGGTGTATAAGCATCTTAATGAATAGTGATTAGTCAAATATAATCACCCACAAAAGTTCTGTCGGCATCTTACACTGTCCGAGAAAACCGTCAATCTCAGTCAAGTGAATCCTGAGCTACTAGTAGATAAATACAGCCCTGCCGACAGATGGTGTACGGCGGTGTAGGTGGTGAAGAGGTGACTTGGGGATAGAGGGTAAGGGGGTGAAGGAATGGGAGAGAGGCAGTATGTTACCGGTAGGAAAATTGTGTATTATGAGTATTATATGTTAACCCTGCAACTATACTCGTTAATCCCAGGTTATGTCGTGGGTCTGATAAATTATAAACAAAAGATGACAATAGCAAAGCGCCTCACCCCTCTTTTCTTTTCAGCCCTCATCTCTGTCCAAACCCGCTCTCCCAGCCGAGCACGGAATAAAGTGTTACATAATTTCGGAACCACAATGCGTTTCTTTAGCCTTTTGTATTTTATCAGTGGTTTATATGTTCACACCAAATAGCTATATACACAGAAGGAACTGAATTTCACTCAACAAAATTGAGATATGAAGCGTTTTTAGGACACCAGATGGGCTTGTAGATTTGATGCATGCAAAATAATTACTGATAGGTTGCCAGCCGTACTAAGCGTTCTTGAAGACTTCTCATATGGTACTAGAGGTCTCTTGGCCCACATAAATGTTCAGTTTATAAAGAGTTAGTAATTATGACAGATCTTGTCAAGGCAAACCAACTATCTATTAAATGCTGTCAGTCATCTAGACCTGGGAAAGCCTGTTGAATTAACTGAAAATATCATAACTCAGCTTGAAGACTTGTGTTCAGATACAGCTTCACATGATGCTATATGAGATGAAGTAGAGAATAATATATCAACTAATGAAACCGAAGAAATATTGGTGAAGTGGATCGGGAGCCCAGTGGTACTCTGTATGCGATAGATAACGTCCAGCTTGAGCGTGATGGCGACTGTTGACTTTCCACGTCATCAAAGCGAGCTAAATAACTATTAGCTCATCAGTAAATATATATTCTGAATATAGTAGGTTTAACATACTAATTTCGTGTTTGAGTTAATTTAACGAAACTCTAGCAGCTCGTGGCATTTACAAGAGTTAGTTCTCGGTTTTTGCTTAAAATAGCGAAACATTCATGCTGGAAGTAGATTCTACGTACATGAAGCCACATGTGGTCAGTCGAGCCGTGATCTGCAGGGGTAGAGGCAGTACTAAGCTGCTCACGATAATATCAAGAAAGTTACTTTTCAGTTTGTTGCTCTGTCCACCTTCTCCACTGTAGTACCACTGCCTTGAACGCTTTATGGTGTAAGTAGAATAAGACAATTATTATATTTGGTTCACCATTTAAATAATTATAACCTCCGTACATGCAACTAAAATGTTATATTCAGGTGGAGGACGGACAGTGGACACCTCAAGTGATAACATATACCAATTTCACAAGCTTGGACCTGGAGTGTGCACCTGTTCATAGGTTCAGTTTTTAATGAAGGCGAGGGATAAATCGTTTTTCTCCTTCGTTAATATTATTTTTATCTTTTCATAGCCACAGGGAATATTGTTGATTGAATATACAAGGCGTTTATTATTATATTCGAAAACCATGAAAGATAGAGATTACATCTTAGGCAATATCACTTGCGACAAGGAGGTACTACCGCCTGGAGAGATATTGGAAGCATAATGTGTTGTCTAATGGTAGACCCTGCTGCCATTATGACATTAAAAAAATTGTGACCAAGTCTCAGGTTGCTGATCTGACTGATTGTATCTGCCTCATTTACAAACAATTGCAGGATCTCAATTGTTTCTCTTACTTTTGCAACACAACATATATATTGTTTCTCACTCTAGATATATTTTATTTTTTTCTTTTGTCCCCGCCTCCCCCAGGCCCCGCGATGTAGGTAGGTGACCTGTGCCCGGGTGGGCTAATCCCATAGAAAACGACAACAACAACAAAAACATGTATGGATTCATATCTGTATTAGCATATTTCGTACACATGTGCAGCCATTGGGAGTATGTAAGCCACACACAGCAAAACAAGCAAGTGTTCCTCCCATTGACAGCCACAGTAAAGAACTAACAGTGTCGGAGGTGTTTGCCATTTCAATGCTTTGCTGGCGATCGGAATAACCGTAGTCATCATACGTTGTGCAAACTGAAGTGGTAAAGTTTGTGCAGCTAGTACTGCCTAGTGAACTATGCAGTGAAACAATATCACATTACAATCCAACAATGTCTGCAGCAAAGTAAACAAATCCCTTTCGCGCTTCCTTGTTTGGCCTTTGAGGGGCACTTGGGGTGGTCATGTGTGGCAACCTAAGTCGTGTCATCACAAGCAATCTCGAGAAGCTTGGTGGTGAATTAACCACTCTTGTGCGGGAGCCACTCTGCAGTGAATAAAATCGTCTGATCTCAGCTAAACAAAATACTAAAAGGGGCGTCCCGTACTGAAAGGGTTAATTAATGTCCTTAGTCTGGTGGCTGGTAATGAATGTGGCTATTTTTGATGTTCTCTTTCTTACTATTTTTGCAGACGAAGGTATGTAATTTTTTTCTACAAATCTCGTTTTTTTTAAATCGCATTACTTTTGTATAGCTGCAGTAAATAGGTGGACCAAGGTTCCAGATCTGTTAGATGCAGTTATCGATGATTATTTTTACCTGTATACTGAGTTTGTATGCAGTTACAATTACAGTATAATAAGCTTACAGTGAGGTATTTTAAAGGGCAGATCAAGAACACATAAATTTATTTAGGTATATTTTTAGTGGGGTTGGTTAGCATCTGCAAATTAACGTACATTAATATAATACGTGAAACTTGTGCAGCAGAATTGTTTAATAATCATACATCGTGTGAACTGTTTAAGCAGATACTGTATGTGCTAATGCGCACGTCAGAATGGTTTATTCCCTTTGTTTATGTTTTGAAGTTATGATGATTTTTTTTGCATAATCTGCATGGACAGTGTGTGTGTGTGTGTGTGTGTGTGTGTGTGTGTGTGTGTATGTAACAAAGTAAAAAAAAAAAAAGTATATGTACCCGAAATTACGAGTTAAAAAATAACCATAACATAACTCTGGCGACCTTCTCTCTAGCACTGGTTCCGGCGTTCTGGCTGGTAAAGCACAGAGTTCTATCTCTATCTCTCTCGTAATCTTTAATGTTGTTGGACTAGTGTATTACTAACTTTGCTTAAAGACGTTCTTTGTTGTAGTGCAGTAATAACATAACAACAACAATGTGGTAAAGTTTTCACTAGTGGCCCCAAAGAGAAATATTAATGGCAGTGCTTGTGGTGCCACCTCCCACACCTTCTGGTCTCTTGGAAGACATATTATAAGCCTAGAACATAGGCGAAATATGAGCAAAAAACAAGAGTATATAACCATGGGAGTTACCGCCGAAACAGAGAGTTTCAACCTATTGACCTTTGACATTTAATGGGCCCCTAACCTTGATGATGACCTTGAAGTTGCTAAAGCTCTTTCGGGTCGAAAGGTTTGCTTGTCGGTTAAAAACAAAATATTTGTGCCAACTTTCATATATATATATATATATATATATATATATATATATATATATATATATATATATATATATATATATATATATATATATATATATATATATATATATGTGTGTGTGTGTGTGTGTGTGTGTTTTTTAACATAATGGAGTGGCCGAGTATTATGTCATGTCCCGGTGCAGCAAACCACACTGCATCTCGCCAGTTCAAACCTCGGGTCAGATACCACCACGGGGTTGAATTTTGTCTACTTTTTTTTTTACGCTACCACTGGTCACACCCCTTACAGTTTTAACAAAGAAAATAACAAATGTGAAGACAAACTTTATTATTTTATTAACATTTTATTGTTAGGTTAGGTCAGGTCAGGTTAGGTTGGGTTGGGTTGGGTTGGGTTAAATTAGGTTGGGTTAGGCTAGGTTATTAACACAAGTCTTGTGATATGTAAGATAAAGGGAAAAGGGACACTGGTATTGCCTTTATCTTTGCCAACTTATCTACCTTTGTTTTAGCAGGGATTTTAAGAACGGGATTCTCACAGACTAGTTGGATTGATTTTAGATTATAATATCAGGCCCAGATCTTCATCATACTTGATAAAATACTTCCAGAGTTAAAGATGCTGCATTGTCGAAACTTTAGACAAGAAGTGAAATTAATGCACATGATGTCGATTTTCAGTGACCGTGTTTCTGCGACGATATATTGACGAAGGTGCAAGTCATTGATGGAAGGTGGTGAGTAAGGCAGTGACACGAACTCTCCTGTACTGTGACAGTCAACAAAAGGATGATGCTGAAGAGGTTTTTAGCCGTGTTAGTGGCCGTAGTGACTGTGATGATGTCCGTGACCCTACACATCTTTAGGGATCAGGTAATGTATACAGTACAGCAAGGAGGTGACAAGGTACGCACACAGTATCATTAGTATAGGAAAAGCACATTAACCCATACCAAAATTATTAGTATTAAAATTAAGAATCAATTGAGACAACACACCTAAGACAGTCACTACCTCAAGGTTTCTATCAGTAATTCACAACTGTTCCCTAGTGTTAACGTGAGTTCTCAGTCTTGCGTGATCTCGGCCGGAGTTCTAGCCTCACGTGGCAATGCCAAGTGGTCCAACGCAAATCTTCCAATTACATCATATTTAAGGTTACTATCATCATATTTCATTTTCATTACTTTTTTTATACAAAAATAAAATATCCAACCTATTGTCTCCCAGCACAGCCTTTGCCACTGATCCGTTGACTCCTGAAGGGTTCCATTAAATATCCTTGGTACCAATTTAACCAAGTCTGACAATGATGTTCTTGGAATGATTGTATATAGAGCTTTCTGGGGATTAAGAAAAGAGACTAGTTTTAAGAAAGGGATCATTGATGTTAAACCTCTTTTTAATTTCTGTGCATCTCATATTGACATCTAACATTAAGGTTTGATTTTGTGCAAAATCCGGTCTATTTTTATATAGTTGGGCAATTTGTTCCTTATTATTGTATGGTATTTAGGTCCCCCCTAAAAAAAGAATTCTTGAAATTTCCGAAATTTCCGATTGACGGATAATGACACGTCACTAATACGATGGCGTCGTATTCGTTTTCTTTCATTGCAAGCCATAGGGGAACGAGTTCCCGAGGGACGAAAATAGATGAAGCTGGAGCCTTGCTGGTTGCCAAACTAGAACATGTTGGGAAAGAGATCCTTGCTGAGACTGAGGAAGTAGCCGATAGAATGGAGGTGGCTGCTAAGAGGAGTTATGCTGAAGCATTAGCAGGGCCATGGGGGGGGGCGGAGAGTAATGCAGGATCAGAACAGGTTCTACAGCAGCTAGGGACTCTGAAGAGGTGTGTCGAAGAAATAAAAATTAGCGGAACTACTGTTATGGGAGAGGGGGAACAAAGGGAACGTTTCCAGCCCAGGAACAATGTAATAGTTTTTGAAGTCCCTGAGAGCCAGGGAACTGAGAGTAGGATAACACGATAAGATGCAGTTTAATATTATTTGTACAGAAGTTCTGAGGATTCCATCAAACCCTCAGGATGTGAGGAGGCTGGGACAAAAGCAGGGGGATAAGCCTCGCCCCCTCAGGATCACACTAGTGAGTGAGGAGGAGAAATGGGAGGTTATTCGGCAGGCGAAAAACTCAGCAAAGAGCGAGGCATTTCGGAGTGTGCTCATTCACCCAGATCGCACGGTAATGCAGAGGGAACAGCACAGGAAGCTCCTGCAGGGCTTGAAGCAGAAGAGGGAGGAGTCAAAGAGAAACGAGGATGGGTGTACTGTACATGGGTTATATTAAGGGGGAGGGTAGTGGAAGCAAGTTTCGTTTTTATTCATTGGGCACCCCCCTACATCCTTGTGTAAGGTGAAGCGCAGAAGCGTTTACAGTGCTCAACAGGGAAGCATGCTAAGTTCATGCTTGCCTTTATGTCTCATGAGTTAAGGGCGTAGAAGCCTGAAGAGTTAAGGGCATAGAAGCCTGAAGAGTCAATGGTTTATGTCATCAAGTTATTGGAAGCTCCAACAACTTGTCTCTGAATACGAATTCGCAACTTTCGATTTACACCAGGTACCTACTTTACTGCTAGGTGAACAGGGACTAATGGGGACTAGGAAGTATGTCCAAACAACTTCCACCGGGCCGGGAATCGAACCCGTGACATCTCGCTTGCGAGGCAAGAACGGTACCACTCTACCACCAGCACCCCTAGTGGAAGCAAGTGTGCCGACACAGAGCCAGGGGTCAGCAACGCACCCTCCACCCGCTCTACCCCCTACCCGGGAGGTGGCACCAGCTCCGCCTATCAGCCGGGAGGAGGCGAAAGCCGTGTAAACAATGAAATTTCTAACCACACTGCAAAATACAGTGTACTTAGCAAATGCTGCAGCTTCTGAGAATGGAGGGGGGCCGGAGTTACTACTAAGAGCAGAGACCTTACCCAGAACAAATTCTGGCTTGAATGTCATGTACTCGTACACTAATATTGACACGTTCCTTCATAAGAGAGAGGAATTTGAAACACTACTGAGGGTGCATCAACCCGATATTGTAGGAGTTGCAGAACTGTTGTACAAGAACAGGAGAATCGACCCAGAGGAATGTGAGTTCAGTATTGCTGGATATGACTCATTTACGAACCTTTCTCAAGAAACTTGCAATAGAGGTGTGGTTATCTATGCTAGGCAAGACCTTAGAGACAGCCAGCGAGGGTACAGGGAGAGGATGTTTTTGAAGAGTCAAGTAGTGTAAAATTAAAATTAACTATACCAGGGTTGATTGTGGATACCCGAGAATCTATCCTGGTGTAATGTGGTAGAGGGTTAATTTTCAGACATTACACTGGTCAACAGTGACGAATAATTGTATGTTTCTGTAGGTGTTCGTCTTGTCGGAGTTCATAAGGCTTGACAAACACGAGGAACTACAAGGAAGGTCAGTCTCGCCCCGGGTTAATATAGAGAGGCCTCAGGGGACATCAACTCAACCCCAGGCCGCCACTGAAGAGTCAATTGGTCAGGTGTTAAAAAAGAGAGTTGAACATTTGGCGCAGGTGTGTCGACGGCCCGGGGTGAAGCATAGTGGTTTCTTGGATATTGGGACAGTAGGACTGACCACTCCATTTCGAGTATGCGTCGTTCCTAAGGTTTGTGGCTCATTTTATCTATACAATGGATGAATTCACACACACGCACACACACACACACACACACACACACACACACGCACACACACACACGCACACACACACGCACCAGAGCGTCTCCTTGTCTGCCTGTTTCTATAAGCTTTTATTCAACAAAAAATTAGCGAATAACCAACGTTGACTGATATAGAGCCTGTGGGTTATATTCATCTTAAAAAAAAAAGCCATAAACTTCTGCGAGGTTTTAGCATAATTGATTACAATATATGTCTGTTATTTCAGACGCAACTGCAATAGCATGTTGCACTGTGTTTTAATTATATTTGAACATAAAACTGCTAATGTAGATATATTTCATTATTTTTATTCCACAAATGAGCAAACTAAAGCAGAATTTCAGACTCTCATTATCATATAAGAAATAAAACAAGCCAGATTGTTTATATATAGAAAGTTAACATCCACTCGTACACCTGCAGGGCGGTTCAACTGCGTGGAGAGCCTATATGAACACACTGAAGCATATCCCAAAGAGCCAAGACTACCCGAAGATCTTAGTGGCGAGGCATCCACTTGCTCGTCTTGCTTCAGTCTACAGGTACAGTATGTTGACCTCTGGTGCGTGGTAGCCTTCTTTTAGCTTAGTTTAAACAAGGTTTTAGAGACAACTCTAGCTATAATGCATTTGTCCTTATTATTTAAGTTTGAAGCTCTGCGTATATTAGAAAAAATGCATCGCATCCTCAGAGGTGTGTCTCATCGGCCTGTTATGATGTATGGCACCAAGGCCTTAGATAGAGAGAAAGCAACCGTAGTCTCCCATCCTGATTCACATCTCTGGGCTGCAGCTTTATGGAAATAAAAGGAAAACTGACCAAAGTTTCTGTTCCCTAGAAAAGGAACTTCTCTCTGACCGTTTACACAATCTACGTTAGATTTACCCCAACAAAGCCACGAGGAATATAACTGTTTTACATGCAGACTACATACTCTGAATAGTACGATAATTAAACAAAAATAAAGGCGGATAGAAGGGCAGCCGGAGTTTCTGAATAATGAACATGTATAAAGAATATGAAAGATATAAACCAACAGATAGAAATCCCAAGTAGTTCACACTGAAAATCAAAAGTAACAACTAGACTCGGTTACAAACAAAAATTTACAATATTGCAGTGAAGACAGAATTCTGTAGTTAAGGAGCACAAGAACAGGTGCTGTACTGTATCACGCTCCAGGTACTATCGTGCACCAAAGTCGTGTCCGCTACACAGCCACAGTGAGGGATCGAATTGCCTTGAGTCTGAAGTTTCGAAACAGCTGGGGGAAATGCTATGGTCGGCCAACAGATGTCGCCCGCTGCAGTATGGGGGGGGGGGGATAGAGGAGGTGGGGGTAGTCTAGTAACAGGCTGTGTGTAGGTGGAGCATAACATCGTGAATTCCGCAATCACTAATAACAATAAGAATGTCATGAGGATATTTAATATTATTAAGTATGGTGAGAGATGTGTAACGGGTAAATAAAAGCACTACAACGACCATATCTCAGCCGTTCATGGCTACGATGGTGAGACTGATGGGCACACCAGTAATTAATTCTCCGTGATTACCATCTGTTTCCCTCTATCTATAATAAAAAGTGTAACCCTACTCAGAAAAAAATAATGAATGGGCCCTCCAAACAAATTAAAGCTGAGGTGCACCCCACCCAAATAGGGATGGGCCCTCCATTTCCTTTCGCCTTCTTTTCTCCACATCCTTTCCCCTCTCCCATCGCCCCAGTCACCCCAACCTACCACCCAAAACCATGCAGTGGGCAGAAGGCCACACACTTTCTCTCCTCCAAGAGTCTGTTCTGTTTAACCCACATTCTTTCACTACTAAACCTTTCCTATATTTCGCTATCGGTATCTCCCGCCTCGACTCCGCCATTTGTAATGGTAGCCAGTGTCGGATTTAGACCTGTGGAGGCCCATGGGCAGCCTCTTTGTGGAGGCCCCCCTCATTATAACTACCCAAGGGGGTGGGGTGGCGAGTGAAGCGAGCCTAAATATCTGGGAGTTTCGGGGGGAGCTGTAAGCCCCCCGGGATGATTTTGAAATTTGAACACGTCTTTGGAGAATGTTGAAGCCATTTGCATTTATATTGAGGAAATTAGAACACAGCGCCCTGATGGCATTCTTAATGGAAGTGATAATGAAATTTTTTTTTTTTTTTTAAATCTCAATTTCGTTATTCCATGTAGTTCATTTTTAATCAATATATGTTTGTGGAATTCTAAATATATTATTAGCAACACAAACAATAGCATTCATTAAAAATATACGGTTCATAGGAAAACCAGGTATTCATGAATTTCAAGGAGTAGCTAGCCTAATTTCTATCACGCTTCTTGCTGAACATAGTTTTACGTGATGGAATAGATAAACATGAATTTTAAAGAATAAAAATAAAAATAATCCAAATGAATAAAGAAATAAATAAAATATTGTAATAGGTGGAGGCCCCCAGATTGTGGAGGCCCCTGGGCAGCTGCCCACTTTGCCCACTCCTGAATCCGGCCCTGCCCTGAGCCCTCTCCCCCGCCAGCCTTGACTACCAGCAGTGTCAGTTGGTACAAATTAGTGGTTATTTCGGTTCGTTTACGCCATTTTGTAGATTTTCTCATAAAAATAATAATATCGTAATATACTAAATAAAAATCTTTGTTTGGCATATGCAATCGATTCTGATTATCTACATGACATTATGTGTAATTTATTCAGAATGTATTCATCATGCAGAACCTCTACCTATGGGAATATGTCAACCTGTCGTTTGTATCATGAGTTCTGAGTGACTGGTCACCACAAAGGAAGCACTGAATCTGTATCGAGAGTTCTGAGTGGCTGGGCACCACAAACGAAGAGCTGAACCAGGAGTCGAGCCACATTTCTCTGAACCATCTGTGATTTTTGTTGATGAGCTGAATAAAAAAACGTTTCCCATTATTTCTTGTACGGTGAGGGCGGAGTGGACCAAAGGAAGGAAGGTTGAAGAAGTGGTGTCTGACAGAAGGATAATAACAAAATTGATGTATAACGTATAGAAGACAATGGAAAGACTGATGTTGGTGTAGGGAGGAGAGGCGTACGCATTAAAAAAGGAGGAGGAATTGTTGGAGAGAACTATGATGAGGATGTTGTGATGTTGTAAAGGAAGCTGTATGGATGATGGATACGGGACTTTCAAATTTGTTAAGTAAAAGATCATCTGTAAGGTTTAATGACTTTTATTTTACATTACGTTAACGATGCTCCTTCACAAAGTACTCGGTAGCAGATATTCTCATATTTTGATGAAAGTTATAGTGCGAGTTTACCAGAAAGGTCTATTTGGTATTCCTTATTAACTGAATCACGCTTGAGCTTAATGTTTCTTTTTTTATTACGCTCATTGCAGAGACAAATTCCTTGAAGGTTATCCACTGTTCGCATTTAACAAAACGTTCAAGAAGATAACGGGAAGTAGGCAGAGGTGGAATACAAGGTGGACGTCTTATTGGCTTCCAGCTTTGATACACAAAGGTCTTGTCAACCCTTCACCTGATTTCTTTGAGTATTTGACGAAGAAGGTCGTCGACGATAATAACCTTCGTAATGGTACACAAAAGTTGTTGAAGGTGTCCAAGCTTAGGATCCTCGATACAGCTGTCAGGTCCTGGTATTCTAACGCGGAACATATTAAGCTAATGAGACGTTTCTACAATGCCTCTTTCTCAATGATAGATTTTCTAGAGCATGTACTGTGGACTCGGGACTTGGGTATGGAGGACAGGCACTGGGCCCCCGTCAATGAGCTGTGTAAAACCTGTGTCACTGACTACAAGTTTATATTGCATCTTGAAAATCCTGAGGAGACCAAGTACGTGTTAAACCCCCTGCACCTTCACAAGACCACTGTCCCAAGGCGGCACATATCCTTAGGCACCTCACAAGAACTATCTGATCTTCGGTACTACGAAAATGTTCCCAAGGGCTTGATGATCAAAATTATTGATATGTATAAAATGGATTTAGAACTTTTTGGGTATGATAAGGACTGTATTTAAAGATATGTAGTTCTGGGATTAATAAAAATTATCGTATTTTATCTCATAAGATAAATATTTAGCTTCAAAATTTATTCTTTATTCGACATGAATTTAATAAGAGAAAATGTTCAACAATATTTGCTGAAATATTTTGTCCAATTATTATGAGATATTATGTCATAGTTTGACAATTGCCTAATTGAGATATTGACCATTTGAGGGATAAAGATTTAATTTGACCTCCCGCATATTAAGAGAATCTTACATAATCAAGGAGGGTAAAGTGTAGCAGTCAATTTTATGTTATGTTATATTATGATACTGTCGGTTATGTTAGGTTGAGGTGGTCACCCATGTCCGTATAGGCAAACTGTGAGTCAAGTATATATATATATATATATATATATATATATATATATATATATATATATATATATATATATATATATATATATATATATATATATATATATATATATATAGATGTGCAAGTAAATCACTGTAGGTGCGCGTGATCCAGGTATATACCTTGTTTTGTACTTCTCCTTAGTCTGTACTCACCCCTAAAGATGTGAATTACACGAAAGCGCTTGGGAACTTCGTTTTTTCTTCTTTCCTTGTGGTTATCAGTATATATATATATATATATATATATATATATATATATATATATATATATATATATATATATAACATTACCGCCGTATTGATAAACAGTAGGCTATCATTAATATGGTAACGTTTTGACAAATCACTTGTCATCATCAGACCTAAGACATAGAATCAAATATAATACCATATGCATTTTTAATTCTTAATTAAGAATAACTACATACATTCTTAAGGCTACATGCTCGGACAAAGGCGTACATATAATGGCACGAACCATATTTACTTGATTCACCAAAAGTATACGAGTTACCCCTTCCTTAATAATTTTCTTTGATAAGTTTCCCATTCAACGGGGAACCTATATAAGACAGTATTTTCTTGGCATGCAGCTGTAATATGAAATCATAAGACCTGGGTAGATAGCCAGTACTCTCTCCGCAGTACAGTATTAGGGCAGGAGGGTTGATTCGTAGGATTTAGAGTATACACCCAGTACATACTCAGTACTTATCAACAATAAGTAACAGTGTCATGGTCACGTTGACTGCTGATCTATTTAACTAATGATTCTTATTAAACTCCACGACCGCAAAACATGATTGAGTTAGCGACCCCTGAGAAGACGTGTTTTTTCCCCATAGACGCTACACTTGTGTTCCTTCCCAGAGTCCCGCCTTTGTGAAGACAGTTATCAATGCGTTGTTATTCCACTTTCTCCTGGGAAGCTCAATCTAGAATTAGTCTGTGTAAATCAACTCAAGTAATTCGCCAGACCTTTGTCAACTGAGAGTCATCTTTGAATGAGTAACAGTTAGTTTGTTTGTGATTATTGTCATTGCGTGAGTAGCGATCACTGGCAACTCAGGGGTATTTATACCCGTGCATCGCCAGGGAGAGCTTCCCCTGACGCTGCTCCAATGTTTCTCCAGGTATGTTTATGTGTAGCCATTCAGTTAATTCAGTCAATTGTAGTGAATGTCAGTGTTCATCAGTGTTCATATTTTAACAGTTGAATGGTCATTCAACCAGTGTAAGAAGTAATATAACGTAAACATGTCTGTCGTCTAGACAAGAGAGTTGTTTGTGTTGTCATGCTTCCCAGTCCTTCCCTGACGCTGCTCCAATGTTTCTCCAGATCCCATTGTGATTCTTGCATCGCTCAACCACTCAACAACTGCCCCGGATGTAGTAGATACCCAGCAGGGATCATATATGAAACGATGGCACAAATGCCGCCTGATTAAGGTGCTCCACTGCTTCGTTGGGCCAGACCCCAGACTCGCCATGTGTCTGGCTACTACCGACCACAACAACGGTCGTGAGCCCCAGTGTTCTACCCTGGGTTACTCCTGGAAGTATATGTCAACAGAGAGTGTTGTAACATATAGGTTAGGGATAATTAGTTGGAAATAATTATCCCATGTTGGGTAGTGGACCCCTGTATATGCTAGTGTCAGTATTAACGTGTATTAGGTAATTACTGTTGAGGAAAGAAATAAGAAAATAAGTAAATAAGAAAATAAGTAAAGAAGAAAGTAGTGAGTCTGCAATAAGCCCAGGAGTTGAACCTGTTAGTTATATGATGAATAATATATCTTTTCCCCTTGATTTCATATTAATAAATTTGTTTTTAGAGTACTTTAGGTGTATTCACTTTTCCCACAGTATTTTACCTTTATTTCCGTCCAAGTGACTTGATACCAGAATTACCATACCCATGTGCCTAGACCCTCGACCATGCTACCAAAAGAATGTCCATGCTACCAAAAGAAGAGGTGACAGAACTGAGTAAGAGTAAGAACTAAGAGAAGTAAGTAAGATGAGGGTGGTGTAGAGGTGTGGGAAACACGCGCCCTCACAACAGAGACGTGATCGACCGCCCTAGCGGCTAGTAGTGGGGAAGAGGATAAAGTGAAAGAAAAAACAACAACAGCCTTCGCAGTTTCCCCTATCAAGCTCGTCACTAGCGCCATCCAATGGCAAATATCCATATTACTTATCGTGCAAGTAACGTCACGCACTGCTCATATAAAGAACATATATAAGTTGGTGAAGCGTGGATAGGATCAGGCGAGAGGAAAGGTTGTGTCAAATTAGCCGTCGGGATTATGTGAGTGGTTTAGCTTTGACTTGTGCTTTTTATGGAAGGATGGGTGATACTAGTTGTAAAGGTTATGTTAGTAATGGTGGTAGTGGTGGTAATGGTCACAGGGCCGGATTAAGCTTAATAGGGGCCTGAGGCACAGATCAACTTGGGGCCCCCTACCCTCAAGGTATATATAAATAACAAGAACAAAATATACCCAAATTTATCAATGATTTCATCAATATTAAGCTTCTGCAAAATAACACATTTAATGTTCATAAGAGACAGACAATTGAGACGTTGCTAGGACATCGTTGAACGAAGTTCATGTATTATACGCTTCAACTTCGAGAATGTTTGGATTAGGGGGCCCCTTAGAGTCGGGGGCCCCTTAGAGTCGGGGGCCCTGAGGCCAGTGCCTCAAGTGCCTCATGGTTAATCCGGCACTGATTGGTCAAAGTGGTTGATATGTTTGTGGCAGTGGTGGTATTGATAATGATGGTAGCGCTGGTGGTCATGGTAGTAGGTGGTGACAGTAGAAATGGTGGTGTTAGTAATAGATGGTAGTAGTAGTAATGGTAATGGCAGTAGTAGGTGGTGGCAGTAGTTGCTGGTGGCAGTAGTAATGGTGGTGGCAGTAGGTGGTGGCAGTAGTAATCACTTTTACTTTTATCCTCTTTACCACTGATCGGCTGGTTAGCCGCTTGGGCGATAGGTCATGTCTCTGTTACGCACTGTTGGTAAGTCCTGGGCATGCACTGGCTCCTGAATGTATCTGAACCTGCTCGCGTTGGTCAAGTCTGGTCTTGAAAGAGCTCACACTCGTGGCAGTAGTAACGGTAGTGGCAGTAGTAATGGTGGTGGCAGCAGTAATAGGTGGTGGCAGTAGTAGGTGGCAGTAGTAATGGTGGTGATGACAGTGACTGTATTTTAATTAACATCACAGCTGAAGGGGGTGCAACACATGCTAATGCCATAATACAACATAACTTTTAGGCCAAACACGGTATGCTATTTTTAATTTGTACAGAGTGGACAGTGAGGTGTTACCTCTCTATGTCTGTCTGTGTCTGTGTTTGTATGCCTTTGTGTATGTGTCTGTGTCTGCATGTGTATTTATGTCTGTATGTGTATTTGCATCAGTGTTTCTATGCATATTAACGTCTCTGTGTGTATATATATCTGTTTGTGTTTATCTATGTCTCTGTGTGTGTTTTTATGTCCATTATTTTGTGTAAGTATAACGGGTGCTAATGCGACTGATAAGCACTCTAGGAGAAGTGACTGATGATGGGTGTCGGTCATACTGTGTTCTATACTGGCGACATGAACCACTAGCAGTACCCATTCATATAACGAGTGCTAATATAATGAGATGATTTACAATGTCCTAGAAGAGATGAGAATGAAGATGTGTCATGTCAACTGTCAGTGCGAGATAACATTACACACTTAGGTATATTACTGAGAGCTATGTGAGTGTGGGGATTGGGATGAGGAGTGGGGGAACTGTGCCAGGGAGTGGGGTGGGAGGGTGAGCAGACGAGTGGGTAGGTGGGTGAATGCATATCACTGTCTACTTTTAGATAACAGTGAGCACCAGGGACAGTGATAGTCCTGGGTGGGTCCTCAGGTCTTATCCAACCAGCAATGACTACGTTCTTGTCTCTGAGCCGCCTTAACCCTGTAATGATCTCATCTTCTTCGAGTATTACAGGGTCTTGGAACTGGTCGAGTCCTTTCATTATTATCATAGCAGTTCAGTTCGATGTCAATGGTGGGTGATTATTTTATCCTCTTCGCCACTCATCGGTCATGACACAGAGATATAAAGACATTTTCCTTTTGGCTGCCATTAATGTCACTTCAGCAGCTTAAAAAATAGCAAAGATGGTTGACTCGTTCACACACTTAATGTGGGGGGAGTTTAATGTGGGAAAATTACTCCATGGATTACATATTTTGTTGCAGTCGTATTGCAAGTTTTGTTATAGATCTAATTCGTTGCCATAAACAACACTGAGATGCAGTTAACACGAACATTTCATTTACCCAGACCCCCCCCCTCCTTCAAGTTCACAATCTTTCAAAATCGGTTTATCATCTACAAGCAAACTCTGCATCCTTGCTTGTGTTGAAGATTAATGTTTTTTTTTAATTGAAAACCCCCAAGCCTACTTGCTGTAAGCTCTCTTCATTTTTCTCATTTGTTTTATGTGGAGCCCACGCGGGATGAATGCACTCCACCACCAGCCCAGATTATGTTACGCCTTACTGGCAAGTGAACTTATGCTCTCTCTCTCTCTCTCTCTCTCTCTCTCTCTCTCTCTCTCTCTCTCTCTCTCTCTCTCTCTCTCTCTCTCTCTTACAGTAACACTAACAACATGAACAACACAATTGGAAACATTAACAACACTACAAACACTAATATGAAGCCTGATATCAATACCTATAATAATAAAAGGTCGTATCTGTCTGTCTGTCTGTCAGTGAGTGTCTATTTCAGCCACAGCTCCAAAACGGAAGTATTTAGAAACCTGAAAACTTTACACACATAGTACATGGGTTCCAAGGTTGAGCACCTTGGTATTACTAATGATTACGGTAGGTTAAGTTTGGTTGGATTAAGTTAGGTTACGTTAAGTTAGGTAAGGTTAAATTTGCTTTGGCTGCTATGC